GTTTAAATGGGAACCTTATTCAAAAGTGTTATTACCATTACCTACACTTATGTAGATAAATGTTATAAAATGTTCCAATGATCTCTTCATGTACAGTGCAGTGTGATGCTGGTTCACATCTAAACTTAAAAATGATATGTAAAAATGTGCATGTAAAATGGTGTTTAACTGTTTAATTGTGTGGACATTATGCATCTCGCATGCCTAATAGCCTATTTTAAATAATTATAAGCAGTCACCTATCAGTGAACCTATATTTCCCCTCTCATGTGTTCTTGCATAGCAACATTTCCTATCGAAAATAAAGCTAAATATGTTTTTTCAACAAAGTTATTGTAAGTATCACTCTCTTTTTGCATTCCTATTTCCTATCTAAAGAAAAGATTGCTGAACCAACAGAGGAGCTCACTCCTGCCAAGGCCCATGCTCTTCAGGAGACCCCTGGACTTGAAACCATTCCAAGACTCAAGCAGACTCCTGGACTTGAGCAGATCTCTGGAATCAAGACCCTTCCATGACTTGAGCAGGTCCCTGGACTTGAGACCATCTCAAGACTCAAGCAGATCCTTGAACTCGAGACCATCCCAGGGCTTGAGCAGATTCCAGGACTCAAGCAGATCCCTGGACTCAAAAAGATCTCAGGACTCGAGACCATCCCAGGACTCAAGCAGATCTCACCTTCAGAGGAGATCAGGTTTCAGTAGAGCTTCCTATACATGAAAACCTGAATAGCTTATGCAACATTTTAGTGTGATTATAGTTCACCATTTCAGTGCAACATTAGCTACACATATGTGGAGAATCTAGACCTTGAAGTTAATCAAAACTTATTAAACATATTTTTTCTACATTCCTGTATCATGAGATTTAACATGTGTTTCTATAATGTACAATGTACAGACTCACAGACTGGAAATGTGTTCAACCCTTCTTAAATAAACTTCAGCCATTATTTGAGAATCATCATTTCAGTTTGAGAAAAAAAATACTTGTAACACACGACTAGGTGCAGTGTTGGCAGCTTTCATGTGTAATTTAGCGAAGTTGGGACTTGTCAGTGGTTTGCAAAAAGACCACAAATGTGTATTTTTACTAATTAAACCATAATGATTGATGCAGTATCACTGAGGTTCAAATTACTATAAATAGAATTTGTTAAAAGCACCATAACATTATATCTATTTAAAACCCGTGTTATTTTTTTCATTGTTAACATGGGCGTTCTGCTGACTGGACAGAGGAGTGAATAATTAGCACATAATTAAAATCTGCAGTAATTAAAGACTAAATGTAGAAACTGCCGATGCAAGCATTGGAAACAGCATGTGCATGTGGAGAAGTCAACACAAAAAACACTGAACTGGACTATTAAATATTTTATTAATATGTAGAAAATGTATTAAAAAAGGAACTATATAGTACATGTTTCAGTCAAACTAGAGCTAAGGTTATCCAACAAGAAATCAGTAGTTTTAACATAGCTTTCCAACAGTCAACTTCACCTTTATGACATTTACTGCATTATGGCAAAAAATTAATCCAGAGTACCGGTAATTGAACAAAATAAAATATAAATTAAAATTATCTTTAACATAATTGTTTGGTTATTATAAATAGGAGTTCATTGTTCCATCGGATAGAAAGGAAAAAAAAACACAGCATACATTTAAGTCACAGACAAGTTACGTTTTTCCAGTGCTTCAGAAAACTCAAAATATTACTACCTAAAACAAATAGAAACAAAGGAACTGAGAAATAAATAATACAACATATAACTTACAATTGATGTCTTAACTTAGGGGCTTATAGGAAACCTTGTAACTTTTGTGGCTTTTTTTTTTTTTACTGCTAATGCCAAAGAAAACAAGAATTCTCATGAATCTGTCAACAGCTGATGTTCCCTGAAGGTCATGAAATTTTACTAGACCCAAACATGTTATAGTGTGCCATAAGACACACCCTGCAAATCACATTCTGTTCCCCCAGCACTCCTCCAATAAAAATGCACAAACACAGTACTTAATAATAGAACGTACATGGAAAATTCCCTACACTACAATGAATCATGTTGGGAGATGGATCGCAGGAGAAGCTAAGAGACAGTCACTTTGACACCCAAACATTAATCAGCTCTGGAAAAGGTCGCCCAGCCCATACACATTTGCTCATTGTTTACGTTTTTTTTACTCGCATCTGTTTTGTTTTGCCTTTGTTTGCAATTTTAGCCTTTCTTCATTGGCCCAGAGAAGTCATTTATCAAAGTTAAACCACTTCACCTAGTTCAGCCTTTCAAGCCAATTTCATTAGCATCCCTGGCTGCCATTTAATGCTTACTGAATTAATTATGCAACTTGTTAAAGCGTTATTGAGGTTCAGTTTTGCATTTTTATTTTAGTTGACTATATATATTTATGTATATATGAATACAGAGCTGGTTTATTAATGCAGAGGTTACTGGAAATATATGTAAATGTGAATTACTGAACTTATTTAGTAGAGACACTATGCGGCTTTAGTCACTCAAGGTTGACATTTTGAGTAATGAAAACACAAACTTTTAAATCCAGTGGAGAAGGGTCTTTGTTTAGTTGCAGCTGCTGCCTGGCACTGCACTGTAAATCAATTACACAGGAGCTAACAGAATAAATGAGTATCTAAAATTGTACTTCATTACCAAATGTAGGGGGAGCTCAAAGGAAGAAATTAAGACAAGAACAGTGAAGTAAAAGTGTTTTGCTTTAAGTTGGCTTTTTTAAATAGACAACTCATACGCAAAAAGTGCTAGACAAGTGCTTTGACTTGTTCTGTGGTGTGTAAAAGCCCATGTTTGTGGTTTGAGCATAGTGTTGTCACGATACTAAAATTTCAAACTCGATTTCGATATTAAGGAGCAGATTCGATACTGATGTTGATACCACAATGACAATCAAATCATAGTACTTTCTTCTGTATTATCATGTGGTCTTACATCTGTGTAATTGCTCAGTTGTCCAGGTAGTTTCCATAATTGTTCATCTGGTCTTATACCCGTTTTGATATAGCTCAAAATCATTCAGGAAAGGTTCATTTCAATCATGTGAATGTATCTTTTTTAGTATTGATACCTGCTCAAATGAGTATCTAGTTATGGTAAGAGTTTTAGTATCAATTAGTATCTGATTTTCGATACTTTTGACGACCCTAAATATGGGCTCAGAGGTTTACACCAGGTTCTTCGCATACAATTTGTCAAAAACAGGGAAATTAAACACAACCCAAAACACAGCCATATAATACAATTCACAGTGGCTGCTCGCATGAGTATACAACACATTTCACAGTTTCAAAATAAAAGTGCTTTATAAAAATCCAAATATTGCCTGCAGTCCTGGTGACACAAAGAGCCAAGAATAATCAATAAAATGCTTTTCATTTCAACACCAGAAAGAGGATTTAGTCTGATGTGGTCATTGTTAGACAAAAGAAAATAAATGTTTGTAAACTAGACTGAAATAGTAACTAAATACATAATGCTTGAAGGCCATGCAGTAGATTAGACTCGCACAGTGACAGAACACACGCTCCGCCATGTTGGTTCTGCTGGGAGCTTAAACATAAAAGAAGAATTGATTCACGCTATGCAATGTTCTGTTTTCTTTGTTTAATTTAGGCTAACACTAGATTAACAACGTGACTTTATTTGGAGTTTATGAGCAACATTGAATACACCCACCCAGGGACATGATTAACTGCAAGTCCTAAAAGGCAAGACTTCATTAAGAGAGGAGAATGACCATATTTCAAACAGCAGGCTGAGTCTATAAAGCACATTTAGCTTAAATGTCACCATAACTGCAGGCAACCACATCATCAGTAGTCCCACACAGAGAGAGCCGTAACATGCCTTAGTTCATCAGAGGGGAGTTATAATAATGACTATTGTTCATGAACAGCCATAAAAGTCACACAAATGAGACAAAAATGGCCTGTTTGTTCTTACTTTGAGTGCAAATGAAGCTTCATACTCACATTATAATAACTTTAACAAATAAGTTATTATTATCATCTTTTTGGCAGCCAACATTTCTCAGTGCATTCATGTGATAGTGAACACACCAAAAAATGTTTAGGAAATACTAATAGATGGAGATGTTTCTGGGCTCACATACCCAAATAAAAAGCAAACGAAAACATGATACCATCTTATCTGTCCACTATTCTATGCCAAATAATATATACGTATAACACTGACAGAAAAAATAAGCAATATTTACTAACGCACAGTAAAAAATTTACTTAAATAACACACACATTGACAGATTGAGAGACATTTGGAGAAATGAGAAATATCACATAATTGTTGCTGGTGCACTGCTTTCTGAGAGATTTGGTTGTTGATTAAATTATATCCATATAAATTTGTTTAAATGAAACGTTTGTAATAATAACATGAACTGAAATAAATAAAAACTATACTAGGACTATAAATTAAATAGAATTAAATTAAAAGAAATAGGCGAATATTGTCACAATATCAGTTATAAAAATATAGATATCTTACAGTTAGGAGTTTTAAGGGTGTTTACAGTTTATTTTCGTTAAAAGCGTTTGAATTTAAAATAATGCTCCCTCAGTTTGGAGGGTGTTTCGGAGCTCTTGTCCTTCCTACACAGGGAAAGGCCATTCACAGACTTAAAAGGAGAGAAAGCTCTGGGTTTGCCTTCCTGTTTTACAGCAAAATGAACCATTGTCATTGAAATTATTCATCAAATAAATACATTGTCTTCTGGGCAGAAGTACAGCAGGAGCAGACAGCGAAAGCTGGAGAGAGGATGTACGCAGGTCGGACCATGTCTTATGCTGCTAAGAGTGGGTATTAGAGAGGCTTTTCACACTTCGTAGCTGTTATGTAACAAATGTTAACATATTAGTAGCTATCTTCTTGTTGCAAAAGTATTCAGATCCTGTGTTAAACATGGTCCGACCAGGGCTCCTTCACTCCGGGCAGTGGGTGTGTGTGGTTACTCAGCTGACCGCCTCCGCTTGCTGCTGATGCTGCGGAAGTTGAACGGTCTCATCTTCATCTCCACAAAGGGAATGGAGAACTCATGGCCTTTCCAGTGGTACCAGTTAATCCCCTGCACACAACAGACACAAGTCACATAAACAGAGCAGGAGTTCCTAATGAGAGGAAATGTCAAATATTTACTAGACAAAAGATTTAGAAATTGTTTCACGAGTAATGCCTACTTTATTTTAATAGCTATATGCTTGAGAGTTGCAAGCAAATGTCTCAATTACAGAGATGTTCTTGGAATGGTAGTGCAGTATGAAGCAGACTCTTTAGAGCGTCTTCCCCTTCTGTCAGATGTGAGTTTCTCAGTACAAGTCTATCCAGCTCCTCTCTCAGTTTCTGTCATCAAAAGGCAGCTCAAGCTACAGTGGTGGAAACGCACTGATGCCTGACAGCCTTGAAAGTTGAGCCAATCACAGCCTCCCAACACCTCAGTCTATCAGACCTCTTCAGAACACCACTGAGAACTGCAGCCTGTCATTTTCAATAAAGACCAGGAAGCCCATGTTTATTGATCTATTATAGAACTGTAGCTTTTCAATACAGTTTATGTTTGTACAGAGCACATGAGCAGCACACAGCAGCAGAGAAGAAGGCTATCAAGCACTAAGTTATGTACAAAGTATTAATACGACTGGCAGGTCATACTGTGTAAGTATATTAATCAAGTAATTGTAAAGCATACTTGAGTTAGAAGCCCTTTTGAATGCAATCCTACAGTTGCAATTCAACCAATATTACTACTCTCACCACCAAGCATGAACAACAGTTATTGCTACTCTAAAACCTTCTTCTGCTATATTGTAAGTATAAGTATGACACGTGCATGATAAATGCATTTGAATAGCACCAAAATATAATACATACGAACAATTAAAACATATATTTGAGAAAATTTGGCCGTGACGGCAAAGCTAGTGGTAGAATAAGACCATAGTAATGAAAAATTATAACTCCTTTTAGGGAACATTAGACAAACATTTAACACTATAAAAAAGAATTTTGCAGGCTTACCTGGCTGTGTCTGGACTCCCCATATTTGCCGTTGAGGTTGGCACGGTGGCAGTTCTTGTACCACCAGGCCCCTTTGTAGGACAAGGCACAGTTCGTGACAGCAATATCGTTGTCTCTGTCTTTAGTGGAGAAGGGCCGGCCCTGGTGGTAGCTCAGAGAGTCCCCTGTGATCAAAGGCACAAAGTTAAACTCTGAAGGGAGTGGTGAGTAAACATTTGTGTGGAGCTGCAGTGAATAATACTGTGATGAGGGGATTTAAATGGACAGGCAAGAGGGAGATTGAGAGGCAGAGAGAGTCCTGCCGCAGCCTCCCTGAATGTATTTAGGCTGAGAGAATTAGAATGATAAACATGAGCGGATGACAGGTAATTCTGGCATATGGTCATGTTGACAGACGAAATGTGGAGGAGCTTGAGAGAGAGGGGAAGACAGAGAGAGGAGAAGATGAAGAGAGGAGAAGACGGAGAGAGATGATGAGAGAGGAGAAGATGGGGTGAGGAAAAAATGGAGAGAGGAAAAGACAGAGCGAGGAAAAAATGGAGAGAGGAGAAGATGAAGAGAGGAGAAGACCAAAAGAGAAGATGGAGAGAGAAGACAGAGAGAGAGAGAGAGAGAAGAAAATGAAGAAAGGACAGAGCAGAAGATGGAGAGAGGAGAGGAGCTTTGGCAGATGGCAGAAGGATGATAGAACACTATTTGTGGTGAGCTTAAAGATTCTGCCACATGAATACACTGTCCTTCCTGATATGAAGTCACAGCACAAAGTTTTTATATGGAGTGCTACAGTGGTCTCACACTGAGGTGGGTACATATAATGACGGGTACCTGCAGTGCCGTTGTACTCTCCTATCCTGAGCTTGTAGAGGTTTCTGGCGTCTCCGATTGAGAATTTGTCATAGTTTGCGTAGACTGACTCCTGCCCATCCTTCATGTCGATTCTCAGCTCATAACGGCCTTGAGCGGCAATCCTCTGGATGTTGTCCAAACCTGCACACAAATAGACATGCACATCACTTATATAACATTTCCATCAAAATGTGAAAAACACCATTTGTATATAGAGCAGTATTTCCTTGTGCTATGTCTCTGGGCTTTCTACTGAAGTGACAACACAATTTTGTTAATTTGGTAAAAGATTAGTCTACAATTATTTAAAAAGTTGTGGATTAGTTTTGAATGAAATGCAGACCAATTATGGCCAAGAGAGTGGTCCAATATTGCTATTTTGATATGCAATGTTTGCCAATACCAATGCATACCAATTACCACAAATTCATAATAAAGTTTACAAATTAGTAAAAATGTCATTTGATTTGGCCGTATGCATACACTTTTAATACACCACTGAATCTTTATGTTTTCGTCCAAAATAATCTTTTTTCCTGCTGTTTCTTGGCGTTCTGAAAAATGCCAGTCATTTGCATAGCAGCTTTAAATGAAAGCCTTTATTGGATTGTGGATACTTGGCACTCAATTTAGTCAATTCCACTGCTTCCCTTGCAAATGTCACATACTGCACTTTTCCAAAAGCAGTGTACTTTTACAGTTTATCTTTGAAGCAGCAGAAACACACACAGCTGATAAGGTGCAGCTCCCTGACCTGTGTGAGTGGACAGCGTTCACTATCAGATTACAACAAGCTCCTATCAGGAAAAATGTGCCCTCTCCTGCTCAAACCTCTGTATCAAAATATTGTACAGTGTTGTAGTTTTTAAACCCCCAGAAAACGTAAGTAAAAATCTGATAATGGGGAAGGAGCAGAGGAACCATTCTGCTGTGAGCTGTGGATATAAAGATAATATCTACAGTGACCAAAAAGCACCTATCTGGGGAAACTATTACTGAAATAAAATAACTTCAATTCTTAACTTTATTTTCAGCCAGTATGTCCAAATTGTCTTGATGTTTTTGTTAGGCATTTTAGTAGCTCTTCTTTGAAAAGTGAAGAATAAATTGATATATTTTGGATTTTTGTATTGTATTTCTATATATCTAATTTGCACTTGAACATTCTCCATACTAGAGGGGATTGTGCTTTCCTATCAGTCCCAAATCTATGGAATTCACTGATACAGAATAGCATTTGCACAGTAGTACAATTATTTTTATTCTGTTTTTACTTTACTTAAAGGTTGTATGGAGGATTTTTTTTTGTTTCAGTTGTCAATGATAGCATTATAGAGGTGCAGTAGCCTTGTAATTATGATGACCAAAAAAAAGAGAATAAAAATTCATCAACTCTGGACGTGGTGGGGCCAGCTAAACATTTGCCAATAGATAACGACACTGCCTCGTTATCTGTGAGCTGACAGGCTGTCAATCAATCTCCCTACGTTTCTAGCGTAACTGACTTGCCTGAACGCCGCCGGTACGTGGTTTACGTACGCCTGTCACGCAGTCCACAGACGCAAGCCGCACAGACGCTGTTTACTCCACCAACGCAACAGTTCTTAGCGGCTTTTTTTTACCTATATCTTCCTCGCAGTTCGCACAAAGTTTGTTGCAATGGCAGACAAGAATCCAGGAGCAGTTAGCCGCAAAAGAAAGTCCGTTTTTGAGATTGCTGAAAGAAGAAGACAAGGGGAAAAGCAGCGAAGCCAAACTAAGGTGATTCTTATAGATTCATTCCAGCGATGGCGCGACTGAAGCAGAAGCAGGGTCTAAAGACTGACGCATTGGTCGCCAAATTACTCCTGGACAGGTCACTTCTGCTTATTATGAAAACGTACTTTATTTCCAAGAGCTAGTCAAACGTTCCCCCTGCTCCTCATTTCTCCGGGCACAGAATCTCCGCGCACCGCTCCCCTCTCCTCTCTCCTCTCCTCTCTCCCTGCTCCGCTCTTCTCCCTGCTCCTCACTTCTCGTCCGCGAACGAAATGTCCGCACACCTGCTCCCCCCGCTCCTCACTTCTCCGTCTTGCCTAACCAACACTGTAGTTAGTTGTTTACAAGTCATGTGCAGTGCACCGGCTGTAAACAAACCTGTTTCTGGCGTAAAGAGGAGGCGGGAGAAGGCGTTTCTACGTAGGGAGCTGTAGGGGAGGGGGGGGTGGTTTCACGCATGCGCAACATTTGAAAAAGGACAGTCGCTGGATTTCTTGTTCCTTGGAAAATCCTCTATACAACCTTTAACCTGTGCCTTGTGTCTGCTTATGTATCAGCATGTAAAGCACTTCATAACTCTGAGACAAGAAGAGCGCTGTATAGACTGTGATTATTTATATTACGCCTTATTTGACTAGCCTGATTCATCAGCCGGTTTCACTTTGTTTCACTTCTTAGAAACCGTCTGACCTCGCAGTTTTAGAATTCGTTTGCTCGACTGGAGGCGGGTACTTTTTATCATTTAACCAATCACTGCTATTTGGTAGTCACGGATGTAATGTGCCGCTAACGGGGCTAAGTGGTATATTAATCTTTTCCTAAATCCTGTAGGAATAAGGGCAATGGTGTCTTTCCCCAATTCACCAAACATTCTCTTTATTCTGACTTTAAATCCTCGATCTCGGGAATCGTTGACAACACTGAATATATCACTCTTCGATGACTGGCTGGTGCCCGAACTCGCACTTCCAGAGTTTTTGCAAACCGTCTATTGTATTTTGAGTCCTTGAGTTAGTTGTTGGAGAGAAATGAAACTGAGCGGAGGCACTCGGTGGCTATTATTTGACACCAGTCTCTCGATATTTTTGCTACGCATTCTGTATACATTATTACTATTTATATTGTTTCTCTTTGTTAGTATAATATATTGTGATGTGTGAGCTACTGTGTCCAAATAATTTCATTTGTGGATCAATAAAATTTGTCTAACTCTAAAACTCATTTTGAGAAAGTTTTGCAAACATGGACACAATTGTACATTTGTTCCTTTGCTTCGCTGCACCAAGCTGACATTGGTATTAGATGTGAAACAAGCCGGGGTCACTCAACAGGAAAAATACATCACCCCAGAGCCGCTATAAAACTGCCCATTCCCTAAACTGTGTCAGATAATTGTGCTAGCTTAATTTCCATATCCTTTACTGCAGCTGCCCGGCGGTTAAGTGGCTCTTCTTGCTGGGTCCTATGAGAGGAGATGATATTGATGTTTATGGTTTCCTGGATTGCTGTAGCGTGTGCGATTAGCTAAATGTGTAATAGCGCCCGGGGGTTGGACAGTGACCCCATGTGGAGGGAGGGGTGAAGGTCGCAGGCAGTAGCTTTTCACTGGTCATCTGCGTGACATTAACTCGTGCTCTCTGTGTAAAGACTGCACAGATCCTTCAAACGGCCACACCGCGGGCAATAAGGACACGCTAAAGTGGCAACTGTGGACCATATAGCAGCTCAGTGCTTTTATGTGTCACTGGTGTCTATATGTTATGTAATGGAGGGGGTATAGAAGTGTGATACAGGCTATTGAAGCTCATTGAGAAAGAAACATGTCCACGAAATGTATATTTTTTCAGCTTTTTCACATAACCAGAGAAAGAGAGTATTTTAGTGCATTTCTTACATCAGATGCTCCTCTATTTCACATACTCAGGGAACTCTTGGTTATATAGCAATAAACAGATACATTTTGTCAAACAGTGAGACTATACAGACCTATCAGTTTACCACACCATACTAAAGTAAAGCTGCACTATGTCATTTTTCTGGAAGGGCCTGATGTCTGTGTTTCTCTGCCTGCTTTTGCTTTGCCTGGAATGTTCCACAGCATGGCATTAATCCTTTGTTCAATTACAGGTTTGTTTAATGCCATTTTGATGCTGGTTGAGAACACTAACTTGGCCTGGTGGCATCAGCTGATTCTATATAGAAAGAATGATTCTGTGGAGCATTCAAGGCAAAGCAATGACATCTCCATAGATAAAAGCAGGTGGTGAACCCTGCATTGGAAAAGTACTTATTTTTTTGCTTTAGTAAATAATTTTCTATTGTGGAAAGCACAAGTTTCCCTGAATGAGAAAACATCTTGTATTGAGCTCTTCTAGTATAAATATAAGTAGTAAATATATTCCAAAGCTAACAGTTGAACTAAATGGCCCTCAAATTCCAACATTTTCAGTCAAGTTTTTAAATTCGTTTCAGTCAGACATTGCCTGCTTTTGACCTAGATAAGTGGTCTTTTGGCCTTTCACTTGCCTGATCTTACCAGTAAAAATAGCAACGCAAAATCTTATAATGTTGCGAAGGGAGTTTTGGCAGTGATTCTATTTGCAGTGCTTCTCTTAGTTATTTTTCATGATCACTTCCTCTACTGTGAACTGTTTCTGCACCAAACTTTGCCAGCAAAAACATCATAACAATCAAATAGGCCACAAGAGCTGCCAACAGGCAACTGTATCTCATCCAGTTTGGATGATTTAAATATAACACTGTAATTTAGGATACACTTCAATAACATCTAACTAGCTGCTATTTTGCATATGCATAAGTGCTTAATTTGATGTTAACTGGTATATATTCGACCTTTATTATTAATGTCTTAATATTGCATACCTTATCCTGCTGCACATTAAACATTTAACAACACTGTACAGGGACCATGTACAGGAGCATTAATCAAAGAAACTGTAAAGACATGCTCTTTATCTGACTGTAGCTCTTGGAGCTAATTTTCATCTGCAGTCCCTGAGAATTTTTGCTTATTATTAAAATGAGTATTTTTGTACATGAATAAGCATTAATGAACTAAAAAGCTACATTTCTTGTGGTACTAGTCTTTAACAACACTTTATTTACCAAAAGCCTATTAGGATCATAATTCATTCAAACCTGACCCAGCATCATGCTGTTAGCAGCAGAATAAGGTTATGCATATCTGTACAAAACAAATTTTGCTTAAATACATGGAAAAAAAATGCAGAAATTTAAGACAGTGTATAATTTACCACTTACAAATATGGAAATTAGCACCTACTCAGATGGGAATAAAGAAATGTCTTATGGCTAAGTCTGTGCAGTCTTACAGGTCAAACTCCTTTGTCCTGACATTCCTGCCTCTCCCTATTCTTCTGCGCTGCCCGCTGACATGTTATCTGTAATCTAGTATTGCACAGAAGGGCTTTCACTGGAGTGCACATCTCTCCTTGATGCCACCAGCCTGAGGTTACATTAGCTGCTTTTAAGCTCTGAAAGGACAGTACAGTAGAGGCATGAGGAGGAGAGAGCAGCCCAGGAGGCAGCCCACCAGTGCAGATGGAGGGGGCACACTCTGGCACTATAAGAAAGAGTTTAGTGAACTCAATATTCCACTCAGTTATACTTTTCACAGCTCAATGAAAGAGGACACACAAGCATCTGCATCAGGTAATATATGTTTGAAATGATGATAGCTGACTCACAACTTGTCAACTGTGCACCAGCCCGTAAGAAAGAAAATAAGAAGGAAATAACAAAAAAGGAAGAAAATAAACAAAACACAATGTTAGAGCAAAATCCGTTCCAAGGTTCTTTCAAAATGGAGGCTTTAGGTGCAATTTTGTTTGTTTACAAGTTTTTAGGTGAAACTGGTTCAGGTTCAAGGTCAGTACTGTGTCAAAAGAGGAAATACTTTCATTATTGAACACAGAACTAAACTTTATGCTACATTATGCATGGATTGTGTTTAATAACTTATTTTGTGCAATTACATATATAGAATGTAACAAATCTATGTCTCTCATTAAGGAAGAGAAACTTCTACCTACTCCTTTTTAGCACCTCTTTAATGTATGGAAAATGATGTTCAAATAAATAAAAACATTACCAGCTATTTGCTTCCATTTTCTCTTACTCAATTAATAAAGTACTAGCTGAGTCACTTTTGTACTAATAGTGACCTAAAATTGTTTATGAGAGAAAAAAAAGAAAGGAAATCATAAGAATGGTACGAAGGTTCCTTTTGATTTTAACAATTTACAGTCTCGCAACAGGGCCAGCTTTATACCACAATTGTTAAAAAAAAAAATCATCTGACTGTGATTCCAAACCATGCCAAGTTTCTTTTTTTTTGGTTAACTAGACCAAGATGAAGCAAACTATTTTAGACAACAATTACTGCAAATTTAAGCTTTCAACTAACACTTACCAAGACAATGTTGTGTGTCCATCATTCAATAGACAGACTTTTTTTTTACTTCATTCATTCTCATTTTCCCAAATAACACCAGCCCATCACAAATTCTGCACTGTTATTTAATTCCTCCAAATCAAGTTCAAACGCCCTTTTTGCACCCTCATTTATTTGATGAAATATTCATGTAACATTTCCCTTTAATCATCTGCACCAAACAATAATAAATTGGCACATGAAAAAACATGAGTCATTTGCACATTTTCTAATGAATATAATTATTGTTTCATAATGAGATTTGGGGAAGAAAGGCTTTGCAGCAGTCCATCAAACGTAGAGCTATGTGTTTTGTTTTTGAATTGGGATGGCGCTAAAAAACAATTATGGGTGAGATGGGCTTTCACACATTCCAGTAATGAATGAATCAGAGAAGCTATGTGAAGTCAAGTAGAGGAGGGCCAAATGAGCAGAGAGAGAAGGTTTGAAAAGCATGGTCCTCCATCTTAATCAAGAACTAGTGACGTGAAATAATACACTGAGAAATACAGGCATGTTTCTTCCATCTCCATCAGTTTAATGTGAATGCCCTGACCTTCTGCTGATTGCGCCCAGTAAATCCACATGAGTCAAAGCAATGAGTCAGCCTTCACAAAACTGTGACACAGATTGAACTAAATGGGAAACAGGTTACACGCTAGAGACTGCTGGACAATTGCTGCGTGAAAAGACTAAAATGTACTAATGAAATAATACACATAATTTTCAGTGTGTGTAATTCATGTAATTTTCTATCAATTACTGCAGCAAAAACTATCCACTCAGTAAAACTATAAGCTTTGCACTTCATAGTAATGATAAATAGAAAACATTACCAAGCCAAAACTCATCCTCCAGATTCCCAAACCCAGCACGGTAATCGTTCCACTTTCTGGAAAAGTCGGTCAGCCCGTTCTGCCGGCGCTGAAACACCTTAAAACAAAATAACAGAGATAAACAGCCACTATTATGTGTGCATCATGTTTACCTTCAGAGATCTACTTCTGAATTCAGGTCAAATTCTTCAGGGCTAATAGCTGTGTTTGTGAATGTGTCTCCGTTTGGCTGTTGTGCCACTCCTGGAGACACTACTCTTAGCAAAATGGTATGAAAAAAAATAATCTTCCATCAATTTTAGCTTGTTTGAAGAGTTTATTTATTTATATGTATTTCCAGTGGAATAAAAATTTTATTATATGAATGCTAATGCAGTTTTCAAAATAGTGATTCTCAGAAAGTGAAAATTATGATTTCTGGTTATAAATTGCTTGAATCTCAGGGTCTTCCTTGGAATACATTTTTGAGTAGCGTAAAATCAATACAAACTTCTCTTTTAAAACGTTTCAATATTTTTAGTCTTCAGTATAATATCACTCCTTAATAGAAAGTTTGATATATTATGAAATGTCTTACAATCCAGCCTCCGTCGTCCGTGGTCATGTCACAGTACACCTGCACTCCTTGGCCGGGGTCTCTGTTGATGTAGATGGTGTACACTCCGCTCAGGGCCTCTCCGTTGAGCAGGTGCTGGGCGCAGTTCTGAGGTGTAGCAAACAAGCGGCTCCCTAGAGACAAGACCAGACCAGAACTGTTGACAGAACGTGCTTTGTGAAGATTTTTCCTTCAACTCACCAGGGCCAATTGTAGAACTATGGAGACTACAAAGAAACAAAGAAACAGACTCTGGATCCTGCCTGCTGCTGTGTATTCTCAGTGTATTATTGATGTTTAAAGTGTGTCTTAATGTTGTCATGAGTTATTTTTATCTCTGCTTGTACAAGGATGCAAGTGGAGGGAGATTTCACTATTACAGAATTTTTTTATGATTTCATTATAAATAGGTGTTTTTTGTTGTTGTTTTTTTTGCTTAAAATACCTTGAAAAACATACTGTGAATGAGGTCTTCTCTCTAAATATCTGACATCAGACTGCATCTGTTTTTCTTTATGGACATTAGACATTTCATCCAAAGCAAATCCAAAGCATCTCAATGGAGATGAGCAGGTGGTGCATACCCTCCACTATAAAAAGTGCATGGTGCTTCTTTAAATCCTTTGTCTTAAATCATTGATACATTTAAAGAGCCTATGTTATGCTATTTTCTGATCTAGATTATAATGCTGTTTCCTCATCAACAACATACCTGGAATTATGTTTTGTTTCATTCACACATGTTGAACACACAAACGCTGCATATTTAGGCGAGTTCTTCTCTCAAGCTGAAAACACTCTGTTCCACCGTGTGATGTCATGTGGTAATACAGGAAGTGTTCAACTATGTTTTTTAACTCCACACACCATCATTAAAATGATTTGTATAATTTCATCTCTGGAATTGCCATTCTCTATTGAACAAAAGGTAAAAAGTAGACAATAACTTGAAAAATACCACTTCATGAGATCACATGAAGTGGTGGAACAGAGCATTCTGAGGATTGGAGATATTGACAGACTAATAATGAAGGTCAAAAGGTGAATGAAACACAATTCCAGGTATATTTTTGTGGAGATAATAACATTGTAACATGGCTTAAGCTCACAAAAATGTGTAATATAGAACATTTAAGCAAAACAATACACAAGCAGAGATTTAAGCGAGGTTGAAAAGGGCCAAAATGCAAAAGCTAAATGACTAACTGTCTCTATAACCTAATGTCTAATGGACTGTTCTCAACCAGCGTCAAAATGGCATAAAAAAGGAATAATTATCATTATTTAAGGATCACAATAACTCTCTAGTGGGCATAATGTTCCTTGATGTATGACTTACACTGTTTTACAATCAAACTTATAAATGTTAATATTATTCACCATGGCAACAATGGCAACAAGGCAGAGACCAAGAAAACATTTTAACACAATTCCAGCTGCTGCAACTGCTATTAAGGTAAATGAATGGATACCGGTGTCAAAATGTGGCATGTTTATGTTACATCCTGGTGATTAGCGGCTTTGTAATGGCGCCTCTAACTCTTGTTTGACAAAATACAAACAGAACACATTAAAGATTCAAGCACATTGTTTAGTAAGTGCCACCCTGCAGCTGTGGCTTAATGGAAGTCTCTCTTGGTTGTCCGTAGGGAGGGGATGTACAAATCGTGCCTGGCTTTGGAGATATGTCATTATGTACCTCACAGGAAAAATTCTAAGTAAAGTTGCCATTTTGGGGTTCATTTATCATCATGAGTGTGTATATGTATATGTTTATTGTACCAGTAGTGAATGTAGTAGACACAACAGCGCTCGTGTCCAGTCCCTGGGCAGCCTGCAGTTTCACAGTGTACTCTGTGGTCTCAGCCAGTCCCTCCAGGCGGATCCACGTGTCCTCTGAGTCCAGGATAAGCTCCTGTGGGGACCAAACAAACTCAGCTCAAAACATCAGCAGCTCATTATTTCAGACTTCAGCAGATCCTCAAGCTAAAGAATAGTATGAGGTACACTGTATCTCTGCTGAAATGGTCAACTCTGGTAAAATAGAGGTGTTACAATATGTACTTTTGTGTTTTCTGCAGTGGAAATGTAACTGTAATTTGACAGACTGGCTGGCAAAACTGAGGTTAGTACACAGTGAATGCAGATTTGAAACCTAGATTCATTTCTGGCTATTTTTTCTCTTGTTTCAAGATAAATTACCTGCCAATGGAATAAGAAAATTTCATTAGCTGGAGTAAGGTGAAATATCTCAGTCCACTGGTAGACAAATCTACTGCCAGCATTCCCTGAGTGCCCTTTTTGAATAGACTGTCAGAATTGAAACAGAAGACCGTTTTATGGTTGTATGTTTACAGAAACATGTAATGATGATTATTTATATCCCAGAAAATACATTTTATTATTGTTTTTACAAAAGTGAAAAGTTAATTTGGGATTGTTAATTCAAGATAATGAGTATGAGTCTTGCTATGGATTTTAAAAGCTAAATATCAGTTACTGGCCACAATAGCAGGCCAACTAACAGACACTAAATATATGAAACTATTAATATTTAACTATAAATATTCTGAATTCAAGTGATTTAAGTCTGTGTAGATATACTATTTGAGCAGCAGTGTTACCATATTTTCAAATTTTTTCATTCAAAAGTTAGATTTTGTCTTTAATCAACTGATTAAACTGAACAGGTTGAGCCAGTAGGCTATATATTATTTCAGTACAGTGTGCCCCTGAGAAAAAATATGTTGAGTACATTTGATGCTCGATTTCAGCTCTGGGGAAAACAAATTTTCAGCACCAGCTTTGTGTAAAATAATGACTATACTGTGCTTGCATTTTGTTTGTTAAATGTTTTGAAAGCTTTATATATTGCACACATTCATAGAAATGTGATAATTGCAATGTCTTGATATGGCATCTTGTGAGCCCATTTTAGAAAAACTTCAGTTCAGATCTGAGGAATGACAGACTCTTTGGAACCTCCTAAATAAGAAGGTGGCAAGTGGGAGGCTGAGGAGTGGACACTTTGACAGCTATCAAAAGATAAAAGACTCCAGTGCGGCAGCTGGGCTAAAGAGCCGCTAAATACCCACCAAAACAACTTTCTATTTTAGATGAAGTTACGGTGGTCCCTTTGTTTCTTATAAAAAACGCTCAACTTCAGCAGCAACACTGTTTTCCTCCAATCTGATTAAAGGGAAACATGACCTTGTCTGTGCTTGTGTATGTGAATGAGAACACATAAATATATTTGGCCTCAATACACATCAAATATGAACAAGTGCAATGAAATATTCACTGTTTGGAAAATAGCCCCTGACTCCATGCAACGTGCCTGTGTGATTTATGCACAGAAGCAGCTGGTTAACTGTGCCTCTGTACCTCGAAGGATCTAAGCATTTCCCCATTGTGTTATAGTTAGATTTTTAATATTAGATAAACAACTATAGAAACATAATGCTCGCTGTAGACCCATACAATTACTATTCAAAGAGAGTGAGTGACCATGCTTTTGTCCTTGTACGATTTGAATAGAAGGGGCTATCATTCGGAGCACGCACGCAGCTTCCCTTTGCAAACTATTAGCTCTGTGTTAATCAGATAAGAGATACATCCTACAGCTAAAGTGTTTTGTATGAATGATAGAAGGCCATTATCTCGTTGAGAACAGGGGCTGGAGACAGACCAATTGGTGGTAAGGACACAGCACATTCAGAGCAGGACCAGACCTCAGCTATTAAAAAAATTAGGGGAATTCTTCCAAGGAGCACTTCAGTTTGTGCCAACGGTGAACAATTTGCTCCAAGTACATGTGGGATGAGTCATTTTTGTTGAACTTTTTTAATTGAAAGGGTGGCTGAAGTGACTAGTAATTCTCTACGAAAGGATAAGTTAAATAACAGTTTTCAATTACTCTTTTTGGATAGAAGTTTTAAAGGGCCAATATTATGCTATTTTCTGATTTATGTTATAATGATGTTTTCTCATCACAAACATACTAGGAATTGTGTTTGGTTTCATTCACACGTTTATTATCACACAAATCCTGCAGCTTTAGGCTGAGTTCTGCTCTTAAACTGAAAACAATCTGTTCCACCTTGTGATGTCATGTGGTAATGATAGACCGTCTATATGAATGGACATAGCTAATGTGCTTGCAGCCGCGTTCCAAATAGAAAGTGCCAGGGGCTCATCTGGATCCTTCTGACCCTGGCTCCAACTGATTTCCATTGGGATCTTGTTGCCCCTCTCTCTGTAACTGCTGCAGTGAGCCTTGTTATTTTGGTCTTAAAATGTTCGTATTAACCCGCTCTACATGATTCTGAATTTTTAATTTCATTATTTTGTTCATAAATCAAGATATGATCATAAATAACAAACCAATCAGATGCCTTCATAAGGTAGCTCCTGCAAGCATTAGCAACAGGTTTGATTGACAGCTGGTGTGTTTTGTTGCTAAATAAGCCTGTTTCCCACTTTCTGGTGAGAAGGGCGGGCACATTTAACGATCTCAATCATGATTGGCTCTTGTGGTTGCTTTGATACTCGCGGTTGGATTTCCAAAAATGGAGCCTGGCTCCAAATTTGCTGATGTAACCGTTAGCATCAGGAGTTTAATTTGAGTGGAGCTGAACGCTATGGTGACGTTACTCTCGCTTAGTCCACTTTTTTATACAGTCTACAGTGGTAATATAGGACGTGCTCTTCAATGTTTTTACAACTCCATACACCTTCTTAAGAATAACTTGGTTAATTTCATCCCAGGAATTGCCAATCTCTTCTGAAAAAAGGTCAAATGTAGCTGTTAACTTGAAAACATCACAAGCACTTTGAGCTTTGGAGATGTAGACTGTTTAATAATGAAGGTTACTCAACCATGTGTGAATGAAACAAAGCACAACTCCAGGTATGTTTTTGATGAGGTTTAACATGGCTAAAAGCTCACAAGTGTCAGTTTTGGGTAATATAGGACCCTTAAGTATATCTTGTTGTCAACACAACTACTTTTTCCCCCAGTATAAGAATTCAAATTCAGATGTAAAAGCTCTAACAAATATTTTATGAAATACTGTATCTAAAAAGAAATATTGGTCCATCACAAACTGTTACTACTTTATGACTTATTGTGCCATTTTTGTCAACACAAGCAAACCAACACTGACAAATAAGGACAAACTGACCTGTCTCTCTGGAGGTAAAATAGAAAACAATGTGACAGGGGAAAACCATTTAGTCGACTATAATGCAAATAAATGCCCCTCTGGTGTATTGATTTGCCTGAAAAGGTCAGAGCATGATTTGTGGCTTTCCGAACATCATGCAAGAAATAGCCTGTTATTATGCTAGTTTGAATGCTCCAACGGAAAAGGATTTTTTTTTTACCTTGGCATATTACGTACTGCTACTACTGCATACTAACACAATATTAGTATTATTAGTCAGGGGTGGCAAGACAAAATACAATTCCCACAAGATGATATACAACAGGAGATTGGGTCCACAAGATGAAACAAGATTTTTCCATAAACTGGGTTACAATTTTTTATACATTTATTTCATGTTTTTCCTGGCATTTTAGAAGCTTCTCAAGAGGTGTAACTCTGTGAGTGCTTAACCCTTTTCCCCCTAATCTAAACACATGGATTTTATCTTACAAAATCTCATGCCATTCATTGTTGTATTGTATATTAAAGTTGTACTATGTAACCTTCATTAAACACCTGCTACTGAATAAATGCAAAATAAGAAAACTTAAATACTGTACTTTGGAACATAGCAGACAAGAGGTAGTGATCCGCCACCAGAAAAGTTACATAATGCACCTTTGAATTACGAGGTGTTTGATTTGACTTCTTAGAGAGTATTTTTTCCTGTACCTTTTTGCCATTTATCTTCGCTATAAAAACCATGTAGTGTACTTCTGTGTTCCTGTGGAGTGGGCTCCTGTGTCCTGAGTCACAATGCGCTCCCAACAAAAGACCATGTGTGTGTGAGAGCCTAATTGCCGTTTAGAGTCTCTTGCAAAGCCTCATGGGAGACACCTGCAGTCATTTCATTAAAGTAAGCAATATACTCTCTATACACCTCTTGCCATTGTGCGTTATTATTGCTACTAAGGAACATTACAAAGTTTGATTCAAATAAACAGCATCTCAGTGGCAAATTAATGTAATATGGTTATTGGACAGGCAATTTTTCTGTGTGCTCCTAGTGTGTAATTTGCGGTATCCAGGGACTGTGTGATTGAAAGATAAAATTAGTGCTCTGAAGGGCTTGTCATAAAGTTTTCATTTGGCATAGCGTTTCTTTTCCAGTGCACTGCAGAGTTCTCTTTTAATTAGGTGATTAGATTGAGGACATTTTCTACTTGGCGAAATTGAAGAATAAGAAGCTTCAGAATAATATGTTCTACAAATAATTATACAGCTCTTAACTATTTGGTGTGGTAAAGATATTTTAATCTCCATGAAACAAGATGTTCTAGTGTAGCATTTAAGGACGTTAAAGGTGCATGCACTGTGTAGCTTTTTAGGGTCCACCACCCACTTGCCTCCACGGAGATGTTGTTGCTTTGACTAGAATGTGCAGAGTATGGTATTAAACCTGTTTATCTCTGTGGAGATAAGCAGATGACGCCGCCAGGCCAGGTTATGGGTCAGGTCTATGGAGAGGCACCCCCGCTCACATTAACAATGCATCTTATTTCTGGTACATTTCAAGCAATAGCAACACCAGTAAATGCAAGACAAATACATTTAATGCTATACTGTAAACAAATCCAGGCAATAATCTCTCCATAGAGACAAACAAGAGGCTGACCCACCATCAGAATAGTTACATAGTTAATAGAAGCAGAAAAGCATTGAAGCAGAAAAAAAACATTACATTAACAAAAAAAAAAAAAAAAAATCCAAAAGGACAAAGTGTTGGTGAGTTGTACATACTTTGCGGCTGCCATCAGCGGCCTTGTACGTGAGCATGTAGTTGTCTATTTCAGCCATAGGAGGTTGCCAGGAGATCAAGGCGCTGCGATGGTTCACTTCACTGGCCGTCAGGTTCAGTGGAGCATCCATAGCTGAAAAATCCAGAGAAGCAGTTAACAGTCAGAGGCTGTTTTTTAAATACATTTTTTAACTGTGACTATCTGGATGATTGACACCAATAATAAGCAAAAGTAACCCTAAATAAATACAGTTTTGGCAGATACTATTTGTCAATTCTTTTAGTGACAAAAAAAAAAAAAAATATAGCAACTTGTCAAATAGGATAAGAGTAAAGAAACAAAGACAGTGCCGCTTCATTGCTTTTAGTGGACTTGGTTGTTGTTTTGAAGTATTTAACTAAGTTGCTCAGATGTCAGTTGTATTTGTTTTATTTAGCTCAATACTGTTATTACAACTGCTGCATCCTAGAAAGAAAAGCGACATGTCACTGTAGACATAACATTTTCTGACAATATGAGAAGTGCTAAGTGACTGTCAACCAAGAAAAAAAAAGAATCAGAAGAAAGCCTGGAAGAAAGCATGAAGCAAAAGTCTATTGTCGAGTTATTTGCTTTCACATCACCTTTCACTGTTAAACCTACAGCACCACTCCTCATGCCTTTGACCTTTGAAAACATGCCAAGGCAGGTCTCCGCTTTACTGTAAGTGAGAGCCATACAAACAATGCATAACAACTTGCTTGCCAAAATAGCTAGTGCTCATATCTGTGGTAGGTAGAATTCTCACTGACCTCTTGTATGTATGTATGATATCGACTTTGCATGTGTTATACTGAAGGATCACAAAACATTAGTACAGTATGCATTGTGCTTTTCCTTATCTGAGGGCATTGTATTTTTGTGGTTATTGTTTCTTCAAGGTTTGGCCTTAAAGACCTTATTGTTTAATGACAATAGTTTCTGTTAAACTGGGTTAAAGGTCTGGTCTCTGCAAAGCTTTTGTTTTAATATTTAATGAAGACAAGCATGACTACTTTGACTTTACATTTCATTAGGATTATCAGTACCACTCAGTAGAGGAGTGTTTCTCAACTCATTCTTTGTATACTAGGCAAAAATGCGCCAAATGCGCCCTCACACCAATTTTTGTTGGCTCTCAGGCTTCATGTGGAATTGGTCCAAATAATCAAAAGTAGTTCTTTTTACTGTTAATTTAGGTCTGCTAACTTAACTTAACTTATTTTGATGTGATACAGGCTTAAAAAAACTTAACTAAACATAATTCAAGCCTTATTAATGGTGTGATGGCTCAGACAACCCTACATCAAATGCAATTTGAAAAATTCACTACTGCCTGTGGGCCTAAATTTCAATATGTGGCCCTCAGTGAAAAAAGTTTGGACAACCCTGCTGTATACTATATGCTCACTGATTATAATAGGTCTACAGTGCTCCCTGAAAAGTCTGCAGCTTCCACGTTTTAACAAAGTGGAGAAAAAGTGAACAGAGAAGACAAGGTTTGAGGCAAAACCACTTCTATCATAAATACATATAGCAGTAATAGTTTAGTATAGGTATGTCAGCTCCTATTCCAAATGCAACCGTCTCAATTCATCCAAACAAGCACAGAGAGTTCATTGACTTGAATGGAAACACAACTTCATCAAAACCTTGTGATGAATTTGCAAAGGCACGTTACAATCCTCCATCAACAAACAAAACCCTCCAATTAAAGCGGACAACATGTGCTGCATCTACAATAGCTGGAGGAAATGACAGCCCGCTCAGCCACGATTAGCCTGTTAGATGCACTCGTTTGTTTCCATATGGAGAGATATGCTCACAAGTGCTCATTTGGGACGCTTGTGCTGGTGCATTCAAATGTCAAGTGTGAAATCATGGACAAAAGGGTCCACACAGACATTACACCATGCAATTGTAAACCACTTCAATTGAAGTTGTATCATTACTTTAAAAACAATCTGCAATTTATATAAGCCTGCTTCAGTATAGCTATTTTCCAACATTCTGCTCTTTGTTGACAGGGTCTTATTTGATTATTTTTTACTCTATTTACTTATTGTTGTTGGAATTTGATGTATCTGCTCTCTGTAAAGCAAAATATAAATACAGTTTACTAAGTACTTACAAATCCCACTCCAACATTAAAATTTGATTAATGTATTTTGCATGTTTCAAACATAGACTGTATAAAGAAGTGGACTAAGGGAGTGTGACGTCAACCATAGCGTTGAGCTCCAGTCAAATGAAGCTCACAAAGCCAGCAGTTATAGGGGCAAATATGTAGCCAGGTCCATATTAGCAAAATAAACACCAGGATCATGTAGATCAGGTTAATACGAATATTTTAAGACCAAAATTACTACAGCAGTTACAGAGAGGGGGTGACAATTTTCCAATGTAAAGTCAATTAAACCGGAAGCGTGCCCATGAACACTTCCTATTTGGAATGTCGTGGCTGGCAATTTTGCTATGTCCATTTATACTTATGTAGTCTATGTTTTCAAATCAGCCACAGTATCAATCAATGACGTTTTCTGGTCAAATGCTATATTTTTGATGCTCTACACACCATATAGCCATGCTTCGTACTGATTCTAGTATACCCTACTTGCTCTTGAGACAATATTATTTATCATGTTGAGGAGTAGTCTTGTCTCTAGTTAAGTGTTTGCAATATCAGAGACAGAAGATTAGAAAGCCCACCCAGCTTTCACAAGTTATGCACTCTTTGAGTTTACAACACATTACATCACATTCTCAGATCCACGCCAGCTCTTTATTACAGGCCTTTTGTTGACACTTAAACCACATCAGTCACTTCAGTTTCCCCACCTTACATCAGCTCTTCCCACTCTGATCTCCTGCTGCTCCCAAAACTATTGACAAGTGCTAACCTTATTTAAGTGCATAATAGAAAATGGATGACCTTCAGTGGCAGGGCGGTTTCCGTGCGTTACATCACCAGACTGTCACTGATCGCAGCCTAAGTGAGCTGTCGCCACCGCAGAAGTGGAAATGCACGACTCTGGCTCATGCTAGTTTTGCCAGTCCACCCGCGTAATGCTAAGCTGACACAGACACATCAGTTTTTTATTCTTTTTTGTTTTGTTCGCTTGTGTGTTTTTGCGTGTGCTTGCGTGTATGGGTGTGTGTGTGCTTGTATGTGTGTGTGTATGTGCTTGTGTTTTTGCGTGTGTTTGCGAGTGTGAATGCATATGGAGAAGCCAGTGACAGCTTAGTAATTAACACCATGCACCCGTCTGCATAACTTCCGGCTAGATGTGTGGCTCACAGTGACAGGCAACCAATGCTTTGTGCAACTGGGTGTGAAGAAGGAGCAGGTGGAAAAAAGAAAATAACAAATAAGAAATATAAGAAATAAAAATGTGGGTGGTCACTATATTACAGTGGACATTCTTCTATTTTAGCAACATTTTTTCTTTACCTTTATTACTGACTTCCTCAGCAAAATCGATGGAGTTAAATTTGTAAATGTTATGGCTAAGATTTCTAGGGGAGGATATGCCACCTGCTGGTCTCTGTGGAAATGTTATTGCTTTGTCTGGAATGTTCCACAATATAGATTAAACCTATCCATCACAAAGGAGATGAGCAGGCAGATCTGTGTAGAGCCATCCCTATTCACAGAAGGAATTAATGTATTTTTGAGCAATAGAAACACCCATAATGAATAAATGCTAGATATCATACCATGGAACATTCCAGGGAAAGCAATAACATCTCCATTATAGACAATGCAATGATGGGAATAGCACCTTTAGTTACTGTTATAAGTTTGTAGTCAGTGCAGTGGGTTGACTACATCTGAGCAGATGTGTAAATTTATACTAATTTTAATCTGATATTTTAATTGAATTGCCACATTGTCATGTTGATGACATCAAGTTATTGTTGGATGCGGCGTTCAAAGCTTATGTTCCACTTGCCCGTCTTCCGTTTCTGTCTTTGTCCAGCTTCGTCCAATCGAACAGGCTGCCATTCTAGTTTAGGTTATCTTTGTTTGTGTCATCCCAATCTTTTGATGAACACTGCGGTTGTATTACTCTCAAGCGGTGAGGAGATGAGAAGTGGATTTCGTTCACTGAAATCAAGGGCTGTGACTCGACTTCCCCGTGATTCTACAATTAAATCTCTCTCTGCGCTATCGCCTTTCTTGCTCGTCCCCACCAATTAAACCTTGTGCGTGGAGAGCATCCAAGCAGGTGGCCAGGAGTCATTCAAGTTTTTGGCAGATCGGGAGAGAGGAACAATACGATTGATATGAATAGGTTTGTCTTTGTTTAATGTCTCATTAACAAAGAGTGTAAACAGAGCCACACACAGAGCAGCAGATGGAAAGATAACTAGAGGCAGCGGGCATTTGTAGCAGGAAGAAAGACACTTTAGGATGGGAGCTTCATAATTCTCTCCTGATTGGGAACGGGACAAATCTGTCTCTATACTCTATGATTGTAAGGAGTGTATGACTGTGCAGTTAACCTAATTTGGATTTAATTGTGATCTGACTTATGTCTCATCACAAGCATTGGCTTACTAACCTAAAATTAACAAAAAAGAGTTCAGAAACTTTGTTTTTAAAATAATAAAAAAAGATCAATTAGCTATATCAACCAGCCCTGAGGGAGTGTATGATACATTAACGGTATACACATTTATAAAAGACAGGGAAGAAGTATCTCATGTGCCTAAGAAGCAGCTGAAGACTCTCCTGTTTAGAAAAGCTTTTGGTTGACTCAGTCCCAAGACCCATTTTTACTTATTGTTCTTTGTATTGTTATTGTATGGTGTACCTGCTCTCTGTAAAGCACATTGTGATTTTTATCTATGAAAAGCTCTATATAAATAAAGTGTACTTTCTTACTTATATTTGAAGAAGATATTCCTTTCAATACAGGGAAGTCAAATAATAATATCTCACATCTACATTTGTCATTCCTCAGATTTCTTCCAGATGAAGTTAGCCCCCAACAATAAAGTGAACTGAAGGCAGTGTGAGTGCCTACGACTACTGTCAAAATGTCACAATAGTCAGAACAATCCAATTAAAATGGTGTTCCTGTGATAGGAGCATTGTCTGCACATGGTGAAGAGTGAGCAGCCACCTTCTCAGAGCTCAGTGGAGAACCTCTGCTCCTTCTAAAAACATACCAATCCCTATTCAGCAAATGCAGCCAGACACATGTGAGAACGTTAGACCCGGTGCTGCTGCCTGGAGGCTCACAAAGAACGGAGGAGAGAAAAAGCACATTTTTCAAGCCTAAAGCTTAAATAGCAGCCTTAGGGGATGTGCTGCTGTTGAACTCAGAGGCTAAAGCGGGAGAACACTAAACAACTCTGGACTGTGGCTAAGAGGTTTGGCTTCTACAAACTCATGTGAATGACAAAAGGAGAACTGGGTACGACTAGACTGCGGCCAGACTCGCAGTATGTGTGGAGGATCTTATTGGCAACACTTGAGAGCAGCAACCCCCAACCTATTTTCTCATGAATGTGAATTTTTTTCAGGGACTGGTGAAGGGGGACAGAATCAGTAATAACAGCACAAAATGGTTATAACTTACTATAGTTTAAGTCTTAATAATCATGTTTGCTGTTTAGGTTAATTTGCACTACATTTAGGTCAATGTGTACCATATTACACCATAGCAAATATGGTGGTAGACCTTCCTTTTTGTAGATATAAAATACCCAGTACCAGATGGCCAGTGGGCTAGTTTTGAGCTCCAGACCGGCGGTTGGGAACCCCTGATTTAGAAAGGAAATTATATGAATTGAAATGACCTGAAATAAAAGCTTTAAGCAGAACCAGCATGTTTGCTTCATCTTCACAAAAATGTTGAAAAAAGTTAAAATAAACCAAGTGTCTCCTAGCTCTTTAATAACAGCATATTTGAAATGCCTGCAATGGAGTTTTATAGAGTGAACTCTTCACATAATCAGGGAGGATCTCTATGACAATGACATTCAGACACAGTATTGTAATTATGTGCACAAGATGATTTTTCTGCACAGTGACTGTCAGGATTGCTTTGTTTAAGGCTTATTGTACACCACTGTATGCTGCCCACATGTGGAACAGTTACAGTAAAGTCAAGTTCAAAAGGGTGCACATAATGATGCACTTCTTGATAGACAATGGCGGTCTACTGTTTGGGCAGAATAATGTCCCCAAACTGAATGCTGTTATTAGAAATACTGTTTATAAATGTATGAAGCATCTCAAGCACTCTCACTCCTGAATTTATAAACTTTTAATAATGCCTGAGCACAGAAGTGTCAGATACAACTCCGAACTCTGGAGGCACTGGAGTTTTTTTTCTTGAGTCTGGAATAACAATTTAATTGATATAGCAAGAACTGAATTATACCTGAGTATAGATATAGTTATCCAAATCTAATACAAAAGAATTTTGGAGCTATAATTACTACTTACATACAAAAATAACAACATAGAAAATAAAAATAAATAATATATGAATTAACATGTCACTGATTTGTTTGTTTGTGTTAAATGTGTGGAAAACTACTACACTCTGATTTGTTGTAGTAAAACAAATCTGTAATAGATAATAAAAAAAATAAAAAAATAAAATCTTAAAAGACTTTCTCAATAACAACAACAAAAGATAAACTATCAAACACCAAAGTCAGAACAAAGCACTGAACAGTTGTGGAAATCAAAAGAATGTGGTATCCCTCACTCACTCACAGAAAATAACACTTGTTAATGACAATATGGTGCAGCTTTCATGTATTACTTTTTTCAGTAACTTCTCTTTGTGATTCCATGCAGCACACTCTTGGTCCTTTTGGAAAATGTAAGATGGCCATGATCTTGACAAACTACTTTCCAAATTAGAATTACCTAAAACTGCCAACAGCATGTGTTCATTTGTTAGACCATTATGTTGCTCTACATTCATGCATTTGGATTTGGGCAGCCCCACTTACAGTGTTTGAAGTCTTTTGTATGGGTTTGTCGATGCAGCAGAAGAGGACAGGTAACTCCCACTCTCCCTTGGGAACACAGCGCGTCTCTGCTGACTGACTTTTTTATGCCCCGAAGAACAAAGTTTACACAGAGCTACAACTCAGCTAAAGTAGAGCAGACCCACTTAATCCTGACTGCGGCTGCCAATAGACACTACTACAGAAACTACAGGTTAATAGAAAGTGAAGTCATTTTTGACCCAAATGTTAAGCTTTCAGACTACATTAATTCATTTTCACTATGTACTGTATACTTTCACAAGTGTGGGTCATATAAAGTTGAAAATTTCTTGCCCGCTGAATAATAATCATACCTCAGATGAGAACTGACGTCACCATAAATATCATCACAACAGACACAGCATCTCCGATGGATAGCTGGAGATCACGCTTGAAAAAAGCTGATTTTTTTTTCATTTGAACCAAAATGTGCAGTGGGCGTATGCCAGTGGCGGTGAAAATTGGGGTTAATCGGCAATATGGCATCAAGTTTAACGATTGCTCAAACATGCACAAATCTCTACAAATACAACTGAGAGGGTAAATCAGAAGGAGGAACAACTAAAAAAAGCTTTGAAAAGTCAATTTTGCCTAATGGTTCTGCTTTAATGTTAGCCATCCCTAAAAAGGCAGTAGCAATTATGAAACATTACAGTGCTGTATAGGAATTACATTTAAAACTCTCAGAACTGAACTCTATGCCCAGTGTTTCACTTTTTATCCAAAACTATTTATTATTCCAAGAATAGTGCATGAGGGAAAATAAAGCTGTCAAGAGGAGGCCCAGAGAGGCAGATGAGGCCATTTGAATTCCACACAGAAAAGCACTAGACAGGCGACCCTGTCCCCATCACCTCCCACTGCGGCTGAGGCAGCTCTTCCATGTAAATACATACGTGTTTGGAGGTTAGTGATGACTGTTCCACTGGTCAGGGGTCCCTTAGTGGCGTACAGGGCGGCAGAGTAGGTGGTGCTAGGCTTCAGGTTGGACAGCTGGTGCTCCTGCCTGTTGCCTTCTACCAAGAATGTATCGGCAGTTACTGAAAGATACAAGATACAAATTGAGTTGTTATTTATTTCACCCCATCCTACACATTTAACACTGCTACTTAACAGATTAAAATCCCTCTGAAAAGAACATCAGAATCTCAACTCAACTGTTTCCTCCTTTGAGCTCTTTTAAAGTTCAAAAGCGCCCTACACTAATTATGCTTTTGGTGAAATTTGCTTCTGGGTACTTCTGTGCAAAAATGCTATATTAAGGACAAGATATTCAAAAGTATTCAAAAAGAAGTCCCCAACAATATTTTCCCTCGAAATCTGAAAAGCTATTTGTTGGAGTAAGTGCTTCCTGCCGCAGCCTAAGAGGAAGAATTTGTCCATCAGGGATTTGCGAGGAAAGTGATTGTGTCTATGGCTTAATGTCTTTGTCTTGTTGTGTTTTATTTCATTTGGATGGTAATGAGAGCTGCTGCAGATTGCTTTTGCGAATTGGCTGTGAGTGATTGCAGGATTTTGTGACCTGCCATCTGTCCTCTCTGAGCGCATATACTTCACAGCCACAGTGCCGCTTGTTAATTCTGAGCACTATTCTGGAGACATCAGCAAACCATATTTTCTCCTGATGGGCTATTAATCTCTTTATATGACATTTGATTGACTGCTAATAACATTGTTTAGATATTATGAGGATGTTCTGAGATGTCCATTTCATGTCATCTGTGATGCAGTCCAATAATGCGATGCATATCAGCCTTAACTGAATATACTGACAAAAGGCTTTATAATAGTGCTTTAAGTTTGCAATATGTCAATGATGGTAAATGTTAAAAGCCGTTTATATATACACTGCCAGTCAAATATTTGGACATACCATCTCATTCAATGTACTACTTTCAATATTTCCGATACATACAGATGACCTCAAATATATGAAACAGGATGTATGAAACTATGTAGTAAAAAAAGAAAAATGTAAATAACTCTACTTTTTTTTTTGTCTTTTCTTTTCAAATCCTAAAAGTAGCCACTTGTCTCATATATTTGACGTCTTTGGTATGTATTTAAAATGTGGAGATTTGTAACAATAAAGAAAAAAAATCTAATGAGATGGTGTGTCCAAACTTTTGAGTGGTAGTATTATATATTTCATTTCAAAGGCCAGATACTTGCTTTTTTTTAAAGAAGACATATCTGCTATTATAGTATTAAACATGTGATTATTATTTTACATTTTGTTCATTGCAAACTGCAATATTGATCTAAACCGTCTTAATAATAGAAACAATACCATTGACATCATGCTCAAAACTACACTCTCCGTTCAAAACTGAACTGTAGGTCAGTGCAAGATTACTCAAACATGCATGAATCCATCGAAATACAACTCTGTGTACACTAATGATGAGAGGAGAGACTGATATTAGCAGGGCTACGGTAGTCGATTTCACATAAGGTGTCTCCTTTAAGACAAGCTGTCTTAACAAATGTCTACTTTGGGGCCGCCAATAAATTATAACCTATTGGTCTGGTATAAAAGCTTTATGGCTAGAAAATAGTCATGTTATAATGTTGTTACCTCATCAAAAACATACATGAAGTTGTGTTGTGTTTCATTCACATGTTTGAGTAATCTTTTATTTTTAGGCTACATTTCCAAAGTTTAAAATGTTCTGTTCACCTTGTGAACATCATGACCTCACTAGTTTGAGAGAAGACCTCAGCCTGAATATGCAGCATTTGTGTATTAAACATGTGTGAATGAAACAAAACACAAATCTAGGTATGTTTGTGATGAAGAAACAACATAGATCAGAAGGGTGTTATCTATTATCAATGCTTTGAACCTGATAATAGTTCAGGTTTTAATTGTGTTTTAAAAACAAGCCCTCACCCTGGTTGTGTGTGAGCGTTAGGACATAGTTATCCACACTGGAGACTGGGGGATTCCACCTCAACACAGCACCTTGAGGTGTAATGTTTATCGCTGCCAATTCAGAAGGCATATCCATAGCTGTAAAAGAAGAAAGGACATAATGAACTTAAGCTTCTATCAGATGAATACAACACATAAAGGTGGAGTTGAAATTTATTTGGCACTTCCATGCATTAGTGAGTGAGGAAGTCGTGAAACTTCAAAAGGGCAAAGATACAACAGGTGCAGGAGCAAATGTCCTTGTACAGTAATGCACTTCCAATAACTGTCAAGCAGTTTTGTTGAATCCATCATTATGCTTTTCCATCGTGTGTGAAGTAAGCTAAAAGTGAAGTGCTAAGGGCCAATGTCATCTTGTTTATAGTATTTCTTATTGTTGAAAAATATGAACCATTAGTATGGATCTAACTATAAAGTTGGTCCAATTAATTAGCAAAAGGAAAGTAGTCAAGTCAAACTATATTTTTTGCTCCTTTACAGTCTTTTATTACGAGATCTTTATTTAACACCAGACAGTATTACAACAAGAACTAAAGGTCTGCCACATAAAAACACATTAAAAATAATTTCTACTGTATCCATGTATGTACTTTGAATCAATCATTTTAAAGACGCATGGATTTAATGTGAGAATGGTCACAAAATTTGAGCCAGGATATTGGTGAGCTGTTTTGACACTTTCAGCACGAACACTAGGCTTACAGTGATCAATCGGGGAGCCACAGTAAACAGAGGCAAAAATATGCAGTGCCCAAGACAAGGACATACATATTTAACAACTCCAGTCCAAAAATGTTGCAGTGGTGTTATTTTTAGTTTTTATTTGACTATTGGCTTGCTTCCTGTAGAAATTATTATTAGACCAATCAGGCCAATCGACTATCTTAAATACTAATTAAAATGCACATGTGACCTTGTTGGCACTGACTCAGTTTAATTGGATTTTGTAAGATGTCAAAGGTATTCCAAAAAAAAAAAAAAAAGAAACATGTTCAGGCCACCTTAAAAGCACTGAAAGTGACTGAGAGTTTTGACAAGAGTTCTTTAATCTTTAAAAGGCCAATATTAGGATACTTTATGATTTATTTACAATGTTGTTAGATGGACTGATGTTTTGTTTCATTCACACAGGTTTAACACACAAACCCTGCATATTTACGCTGAGTTCTCAAACCAGAAACACTTTTGATGTCACGTCATGTCGTGCCATGCACCTTCACTAGAATCATTAGGATAATTTCAGCCCTGAAATCTCAACTGAACTAAAAGTAAAAGGAGCTGTTAACCTGAAAACTACCACTACATGACATCACAAGGTGGAACAGAACATTTTGAGCTTTGGAGATGTAAACAGACTAATAATAACGGGTTACTCAAACATGCATGAATGAAACAAAACACTCTAAGTATGTTTTTGAGGAGGTAACAACATTATAACAAGGCTAAAAGCTCACAAGAACCCATGTTGTGTAATATAAGTTCTTTAAACTATTATTACACATTCAAAACCAATCAAGGTCTTCACCACCATCCAATTAGAAGAGTCTACTCCCAGAAGAGCTTCACATTCGTCCCATTTAATTATGTCTACAACTTGATCACTGTTTCCTTAATTCAGGATCACATTAAAGGGGAAGTCTACAGTGAAATACCCCATAGCACCTCACCAGAGCCAATTCTCCCCATTCTTGTCTCTATTCTATTCCCTCACTGTTGGACATGCCAAAATTGAGTTTGAATGTAATTATCCCTTTAACCCCGATGTTTCAACCTCAATTTCTCCTCGGGCGGGTGTGTTTTTGGCAGACGACAGGAGCACACAGAATAGCCATGTGTTTCCAAAACTCAAATGAGGTAATTAATACTGCCCTATCTTCACCACAATAAAGAAAGAATTGCACTCATCAGTGAACGGAGCAGTGTTCTTATCTCTAGAATAGATGAGTCAACCTGATTAAAATCATTACGCTAATTGCAAGAGGTGAATCTAGTTGCCAAGTCCATTAAAGAGGTTCTGAATATGCAAAAGAGGTGACAGAAATAAACGGGCAATTTGTGTTCTTCCAATATTTCATCACTCTGTTTTTATCCTCCATTCATTATTACTGAAATGTCATCATGTTATTAATTGTGTAAAACAACTGGTAAAATCTTGGTGCTGTACTGGATTTTTACTGGCTAAAAATTAAGAAAGACAGTATGACTTCATTTGAAAGTTATTCCTTATATTTTATATATCCTATACATTCATAGCATTGTCATTACTCACCACAGTGCATTTATCAGCACTTTTCACAACTTTCAGAGACCAAAGAGTGATTAAAACAACTAGCATGCAATTATGCACTTCCTACCTATTAGAAAATAAAACCCTTAATAGTTAGATTCTTACAGCACGCAGACATTTTTTGACCTCAAAAGCTGCTTAGACACTAATATATATATATATATATATAGTATATATATAATATATATATATATATATATATATATATATATATATATATATATATATATTATATATATAGAGAGAGAGAGAGAGAGAGAGAGAGAGAGAGAGAGAGAGACAATATTTTTTTTCTCAAATACATGAGCACAAATCAGGTACAGGGCTTTTAAGTGTAATCTTTGTAGAATGAAATCATTCTCACTCCTTTTTCCATTGTTCAAAATGTCCGTAGTTACACGAAGTTACACCACATTAAGTTATATTACAGCTTTCATACTGTTCATGAGCTCTCAGTCCTTAGCTCTCGGTGTTTAAAAGCAGATTTGAAAGGTAACGCGTGACCTATCATTACATCCAATCAGGGTTAATTATTGCTCTGTGCTGAATGGCGTTTAGCACCCAACCCTAAATGGTTCATTAGGAAAACGGTCATTATGTACTGTCAGGGAGCACTTAGCATAGCATTATCATAATATTAAACTGTATGATCTTCTGTGAAAGGTAACAAACTGAAAACTACTTAAATGCCCTGATTTAAATGTATGTACTTGTGACAAACTGGAAGTACTTCATGCTGAGACTGTGAGAGCTCCACAAAGGCTTGCACTAAAATAATCCTTTTTGTTTCTGCTCACAAAAGAACCGCTGGCTAACAGTACATGGCCCCTATATAGGCTATTAACCTCTCTTGCCCTTACTTGCCCACTTATCTTGGTGTAGATAAGAAACAGTAAACTAAAATATAGAAAATCGTGATAGGAAAAGGAATACAATAATACATTAAATAATACATGAGTCAATAGCGATAATAGCTATTATACCATAAATTTGTACAAACATGTAGTAATAAAAAAAAAACAAATTATATATATATAAAAAAATGGGCGGAAATGGGCGAGATGCGAGAACAAGGCTCTGTTGGAATGCTACTACTACAGTAACCCTAGGCAGAGGGGTTACATGAACAGGATGTGGGAGAAATGGTTATTACGATACCCACAGTCCAAGCTAACGGCCAAACAACTAGTAGCTCAGTGTTCCAACATCCACAAACGGCAACTGCTATCACAACTAGAGATTGATGAGGTACAACACAAATGCCACGGCAAGGGGGAACCAGTGTGCCAGGTCAGAGGGGAGTTGACACCAACTCCACCAGAGATTGGGTACGAAACCCCAATAAGTATCATGCTGAGCGAGGCAGCGACTGACCTGAAAGATAAGATCATGGCCCGAATGAGCACAAGGCAACCCCGATGCCAGTTACTAAGTGAAGTACCATCTGAAAGTCTCCTAGATGATGTGAATGCAGCACTGACAGTGATCCCTACCACAACAATCACTGAAACCAATGAGCTGATACACACTTCAGCAGCAGTGATCCTAGATGTGTTGGGCTATAAGAGCAACCATGGGAGCCATGCGATACAATACCCACCATGGCAAAGACGGTTAGAGGCTAAAATCAAGGAGGTGCGGAGAGAAGTGAGCCAACTGTCAGAGGCCCAGAAAGGTGCAATGAAAAAGCAAGTGCCCAAGAGGTACAACCAGTTGCCCATACCTGAAGCACTCGAAACTGCCAAACAAAGGCTCCAAGCCTTGGCCAGCTGCCTAAAGAGACACGAGATAACGAGGCCAGACGAATAAACCAGCTGTTCGCAACACAACCGGCGAAAGTGTACGCTCAGTGGCAGGGTAATAACACCAGAGCAGACCCACCAAGGCTGGAGACTGAGAGGTACTGGAAAGGAATATGGGAAAGGGAGGCATCACATAACACTGATGCACAGTGGCTGGTGGATCTGAGAGAAGACCTCCCTGAACAGAATCCAGTCACCATCACAGTGGCAGACATCCAGGGAAGAGTCTCAGGTATGAAAAACTGGACTGCACCGGGCCCTGACATGATCCATGCGTACTGGCTAAAGAAGCTCACTGCCCTCCATGAGCGCCTGGCAGCACAAATGAACCAGCTGCTAAGGGATGGGACTCACCCTGAATGGTTAACCCAAGGGCGTACGATCCTGATCCTAAAGGATCCTTCAAAGGGTGCAGTCCCATCCAACTATCGGCCAATAACCTGTCTCTCCACAACATGGAAGCTCATCATTGCGGCTAAGATAAGTGGGCACATGAATCAATACACAAGTGCAGCACAGAAGGGTATCGGCAAAAACACCAGGGGAGCCAAACACCAACTCCTGGTTGACCGAACAGTCGCCCGCGACTGCAGAACCCGTAAGATCAACCTGTGCACTGCCTGGATTGATTACAAGAAAGCCTATGACTCAATGCCACACACATGGATCACTGAGTGCTTGAAGCTGTACAATATCAACAGGACTCTAAGGGCGTTCATTGCGAACTCGATGCGGTTGTGGAAAACCACCCTTGAAGCCAAGGGGAAGCCACTTGCACATGTGTCCATCAAATGTGGCATATACCAAGGAGACTCACTGTCCCCACTACTGTTCTGCATAGGCCTGAACCCTCTCAGCCAAATAATCGACCGCACTGGCTATGGATACCGACTCAGAAACGGGGCCACCATCAGTCACCTCCTCTACATGGATGACATCAAGCTGTACGCTAAGAGTGAGCGAGACATCGACTCACTGATCCACACCAC